TGGAGGGAACTAAAGATTAGGATTAAGGTGATGACAAGGTGCCATTACAATTTAAATACTTTGAGTTCATCACCAATGATCTTTAAAATAGCAGTGACAAAACCTGGTCAGCAAACCGTGACAGGGGTTTTATTGGCAGTACCTGCAGCTTCTTTTTTCACATTAGCGTAAACAGCGCCCACTTCTGGACCGACACGAAGTCCTGTTGAGATGGAAAAAAAAACAAGGAAAAAAATCAAAGATTAGATCAGCTGCAGTATGTAAGTTTGTATTAAAATATAATTAAGAACTACATATAAGTGCATACTTAGAAATCATTATGTTGTGCCAATTAAATATAAGACAGATAAAGTGAAAAAATAATAATTTAGCTCCTCTGCCTTTTCCCAGCGCTAACGACAGGAATACATCACTGAGTCAGAACCAGCCAATCAGACCCAGGAGGAGGGTCTTAGCGTTGTCAATCACTCTCTTGCTGCCACCAATGTTAATGCTAGTTAGCATAGCCACAGATGAAGGCGGATAACGTTTTTTTTTTTTTTTAACAGTAAGTTGTTTTTCTACCATTGGCAGATTGAGCAGTAGTGATTGACAGCACTAAGACCCTCCTCCTCCTAGCTCTGATTGGTTGTTTTTGACCAGAAATGGTGGATTTTTGCATAACACAATTGTAACACTGGGAAGAGGAGGAAGAGCCTAATCTTTTCCCAGATTATCTGTCAGACGTCATACTACCACTACATGGTGACGGTTATGAAAAACATATTTTTGTAAAAGTTAAATACTGCAGATTTAAGAACAGTTCTGATTCTGTAAACTGAATATGTTTGCGTCTTACTCTTTGTTCCAAAGTTTTTTACTTCAAGCAGAGAGTACCCATTGTCTATGGATTCATCTGCAAATAAAATATTGAATGATTATATATCTGTTGTTTATCATTAGGCTTCCTAATTGACCAATAAGTTGCATTCTTAACTTTAACAAATAATACTCTACCATTCCTTATGACATCACAACATTTGAATGACTAATTGAAACAAATGTCAGTTAAAGCATAAATAAGGATTAGAGGTTTAATAAATTAGATTAGTGAAAAGTTCATTCATCTCAGTGACTCAAATCAGCATGAATTACCTATAGCTGTTGTTCTCACATGTGACCAAAGAGCGCCCTCTTCTGGATCATGAGGATTCCCTGTTGAGATGAAAACCAAAGAACTGAATGTTAAAATTCGTTCTGATTTCTGTTCCTCTGCCGTAAACTAAATATATTTCCATCTTACTCTTTGTCCCAGAGTTTTTTAATTCAGTCAGGGAGTACACGGTGTCGATGGATTTACCTGCAAATAAAATATTTACAGGTTATATACGAATTGTTCATGATTAAACTTCCTAAGTGACCAACAGGTTGGCATCATTAACAACTTTAACAAAATTACTTTACCGTTCCTGTTGACCTCAGAGGTTCTGAGCGGCAAACCGAGGGAAGAATCGTTTACTGTAAAGAATAAATAAGGACAAGAGGCTTACAGTTATTTTCAATAAATTAGGATATTATTAAAATCTTAATTCATTCCAAAAACTCAGTTCACACACCAAGTAGATTCACTAAACACAGACTGATTGTTTAAAGACTTTTTTTTTATTAACTTTGACATAATTATATAATTATACTAATGAAAACATGAGATTTCAGGTTAGAATATTTAATCAGACCACTTTAAAAACATACACTTAATGCAAAAATACACATTGATGAAAAGTATGTTTAATATCTGATAGGAGGTTTTTCTCAAAATCTTTAATTTGACAATGAAACCTCATTGGAACACATATTCAGTTTTGTTTTGTTTTTGTTTTTTTGTTTTTTTATGTGAATGAAAATAAGTTTAGCTTTGTTTATCTTCTATTTATTTAGTTGAGAAAAAAAAAAAACATAAATTATTCCAATGAATCTGCTCCCTAACCCTGAGGGGGGGAGGTGTACGTCTCACTCTGGTTGACTTCATGATTAGTGGTGAAGCTCTGACTGGGGCTCTGTGATGGAGTTAATCTAAAACAGAAGAAATGTGACCACTTTACTAGAAAAACAACCAGAAATTACTGATGAAGGTACAAAGAAAATATACTTTTAATAAAAAGAGACGATCAGATGTCATGTACTCACCTCATGTGCCCCAAATCTGTAGAAACAATTGAAAATAACTTCACTATTCAAATAGTTTTTTTGTTTTTTTTTTGTCACAACATTAGAATGCATCTTGATTGATTTAAAACACTTTAGATGATGAGCCTGATCCAGAAAAAACGTCTCTCTCACCTTTCATCTGTCTGCTGCGCCAAAACAAGAGCAGCAGAATGACGAGACTGATTCCACCGAGGAGAGCAACAACCAACAGCACAAATAATGAAGAGCCGACTGGACCGCTGGACTCGACGGACACTGGAAACATAAAACATGAAAAAGGAATTATGATTTTATCATCTCAAAAAAAGACATCTTAAAGATGATTAGAAATAAAATCTACAGCACATCCAAAAGCTTCTTTTAAATAAGGCAACAAAAGGCATGTTTCAAGATGGTAAGAGAAATGTAACTTATCACTGTAATGTATAATGACTGTATCTATATGTTTTAATGAGTGAAGAGGAGGATTTATTGTTAAAAGAAGCCTGCAGTACGGACTGTTAAGAAGCAACTAGAGTTAAAGGAGGAGATCTTCTGAATAATCTTAGTTTAAATGAAACGATGTGTTTCCTCTTCTCTCTCTGCCTTTCAAATTAATATCAATGAAGGTCTATTGCACAAAAACGATACAGCAATCCTCTAAAAGCAATGCATATCATGGAAACGTGTAACTATGCAAGAAATCACTGGGTTCTTGAGAAAATTCCTTTTTAATATTTATTTGTGAATAATTAAAATTATTAAAATTGTATTTCTCTGTTTTTTTGTTGTTGTTATAACAAAATCCAAATTATTTGCTGTAAGGCATATTTTTAATGGCTTGAAAAAATACAAATTTGGACTTTTGAGGATGATTCTCAGTTTCTGCTTTGTTCTTTCCAAAAACAACTGAATGTTTTTTTTTTTTTTTAAATGTTGAAAAAAAAATCATTATTTTGAATTGTATTTTGGACTTATTGGTCAGAATTTAGTCAGTGAAACTTGAAGCAGATTGTGAAGCTGAGAGCAAAAAGTAAGAAACCAAAAACAAAGATGTTTACTAGAATAACTTACTGATGTGGATGGGATCACTGTAGTCTGTGTAGTAAACTGGTTCTCCTCTTCCTCCTCTGCACCAGTACAGTCCTTCCTCTGAGACGCTCACTTGTCCATCTGTCCATTCTCTGGTCAGAGGCTCGGAGGATTTTTCTCCTCTGTACCAGAAATATTTCCAACTAAATGATGATGATGACGATGTGTTTAGTGAGCAGGTCAGCGTCACGTTGCCTCCTACTGGTAGCTCTGTGCTGTCCGTACTCAGATGGGCCTTTGGTTTACCTGTTGGCGAGTTTAGCATAGAGACAACAAAAATATAAGAAACGGCATAGATGTGAGTCACGCATACAATTCTATACAGGAGACAGCTGGTCAACATATTCCATAAACTAGCATTTTCATATAAAGTATTTTAGTCTGTGAAGTTTGCATCTTATCAGCTGTGCTAAATTTGTTCACAATCTGAAACGGACCAATCAAACCTGGCCTGGATTATTCCAAGCAGGAAAGACACTGATTGAACTTTTTTGTTCTATGACCAATTATTTCTCTTTGAGTCAACAGAAGGTGCTATTTGAGTTAGAAACACCACTGGAGGTGATGTTTGTTGTAATGAATGTCTCTCTCCTGCCCTGTTGCACGTCAGAGTCTGACCGACCCAAAAGGCAGTTCCTTCTCTGAATTCTTTTTCATCTTGCTCCTCACATAAAATATAGACAATTAAAAATCTATGAAATTTTAACAAAAACCGCAGGTGTGTGTGTGAATCTGCGTCTGGTAATTTTTTGGCTAAGACGTGTTTGTTCTGCATTCACTGAAGTTACTCACAGTGGCTAGAGAATCCAGAAACTTAACTCAAGAGTAGCAAGTAGTAGTAGAAATCTTAGAAAACACATGAATTCAACATGGCGTACCTGATACGGACACTGAGATGGGTTCACTCCACTCTGTCGAAGAAAACCCGCCATCTTTGAGTAAAGACAGACACCTGTAATCTCCACTGTTTGACTCAGAAACACTGAAAGTCAAGTTTTTTTCATGCGTCATGTGTATAAACGACCCATCTCTCCTCCATTCATACGTCCACTCAGTGGTTTCTCCTCCATGGACCTCACATGTCAGACTGATCGTCTCACCACTGAACATCTGAGGCCAGTTTGGGTGTAGAGTCATAACAACCTTGTTGGAAACTGTTTAGATCAGACATGAAGAGAATCATGAAATCAGACAAGAAAAATCAGCATTGTTAGTTCTATTTTTATCTGAATGAACTCACAGGTTATTTTGATTGTAGTCCTGTTACTTAAATGACTTTGCTGGTTGCCTGTTTCGCTCACACCCTTGCATTGATAAAAACCTCCTTGTGTGACATTAATAATCTTGCTTTGTTGGTTATCATTTTTGATTTGAACGGGGAGAGTGTCCGCAGTCGATCTGAACCATCTGTATTTCCATCCAGCAGAGTTGTCCACAGAGCAGCTCAGCGCCACACTGCCCCCTACTGGTATAGTTGTTGGACCTGCTGTCAGAATGGCTCTGAGTCTGTCAGCTGTTATCAAGCACACAAAAATATGTTTTAAAAAATAACTTAAAAACACCAATATTGTTCCAACGGGTATTTGTATCATTACTAACTTGTAAACTAATAAAACTTTACAATGATTGTCTCTTTAAGTCAATCATTGTAAAGTTCTGCCAGTTTGTACAGAAAAATAAAATAAAAAGTAATAGGTTGTTTTGTATTTGTTCCCTGTTATAATTCACAAATGGTGATAGTTTGCAGAAATCTGAATTTAAGACATTTTTTTATATTGCACATATGCTTTTATTGTATAGGGAATAAACATTCAAGTTTATAAATGCCATTGTTTTATGTACGTACATAAAAATGTATCTAATCTTCCAGCTTGCAGGCATTTTGTTATAGTGGGACACAAACTGGAAACCTTTAGGGGGTCAGATAACTAAACCTGTGTCAAAAGATAAATTGTGTTCAAATGTCGATAGGAATAAAAGTGAAGTTACCTTGAGCCTGTCCACAGCAGATGAAGATGATCCACACTAAAGTAAATGTTGAAAATTTTATACGAAAAAAGTTAAAGCAAAACAACAGAAGGCGTCTGTTTTATATGTCCAGTCTGTCCAATGTCGATCAGATATTCTGTTTATTAAATGTTTTTAAGAAAACAATTTAATATTTTCTCGCTCCAAGAGATCAGAATTTAGCCAGTTTCTGTTGCGCAACAGTTTTTTGTCTACAAAGGTCACGGCACGGTTTAGAAGTACTGCCCAGCCATGAAAAATATAATTTAATTATTAAAAAGAAACAGGTTTATCAACACTGTTCTGTTGACAAAAGTTGACAAACATTTAACATACTCTGCAATAATTAAAATGAGAAAGCAAAGTGATGTACTTACTCTGTATGTCCAGAATGTAATATAAAGTGTGTTTCTTCCTCATTTGTAAACCAGATAATTCAGCCTTTTTAAAGTGTTTCAGCCAAGTGCTGCAAAGAGAAAACCCACAGGAGACAAGAAATTAGTTTCAATTCAGACTGAGATCAGACCCCCGTCTCTGTATTAGGTTTTGCCACAGAGTAAAATGTCATACTTCCTGTCCAATACCGAGAAGTCTATAGCCATGGTAATGAAAAAACACCCGTTTATTTATTTATTTTTTTTGTAAAATGGATTGCATAGTTGTTGCCTACTAAGCAAAAAAATAGTTACTTGAACCACAAAATATAACGAAACCACAACGGTGCATTAGCCGAAGATGAAAATCTTGATATATTTTGCATCTTGATTTTCAAGCAAGCAACCATCTTCTACATGACCACATTAGTCTTTCAAAGTGCTGTGCAGGAAGTATGGTTAGCTCTGCTTTGCACAAAGTTTCTGTTTGTGTAATTCTTATGAGGTCTAAAGGCTGTTCCACGTACATTGTGTAAATGTCACTGTACATAACTAATGCTGAGCTGCAGTAACCAGCTACAATCGAGCAATCACAAAAACTGGCAGTCGCTTTTTTTGAACTAGTTGTTTTAATTCAGCCCAGTTTGAAGATTTTCAAAGATGAATGGCTTAAATGACTTTTCTAGTCATTTGGAAATGAATTTCTGGTGTATTGCGTTTTGATTGCGTTTTAACCCAACTGGGCTTGAGTTCAAGTTTATGAGTGGTGGTCACAGATTTATCTTCCTGGATTTTCTTTCACCTACTTTGTATCTAAGTCTGTATGGCTTTGTCATCATCAGGAATCTGGCTGGAGTCATACCAGAATGGCTAAGACACCATAAGTGTCTCATTTAGCTGCAGTCAAAAACAAAAGTTGATACTTTAAAAAATTATTCTTGAGTTTTCATGGGACCACAAACATGAGCCTTCTTGAGTCATACGTTCCACTCATCAGATTCAAGAAACCGTGGGACATTTTGATGTACACCGCCATCTAGTGGCTATTGATGGTGGTGAGCATGAACGGGAAAAGGTCCCTAAAACCAGCCGATGTTGGCTACTTTTCATGGCCAAACCGAAAAACTACTTAACTGCGCGTGGTTTCAGTGCAGGCCATGCTGTGTTATGAGCATATTAGATCAGCCATCTGGAAAAGCAGAATTTTTTTTAAAGGAGGCAATTAGATCCCAGTGTTTTCAGCGACACTTTCTGAATGAAATTAATATTAAAGGAATAATCCACTTTGTCTCTGACTCTCCAGCACTACAAGCCTCTTAACATGCTAAGCTGAGGATACTAGCATCCTGAAAGTAAGCAGCAAAGTCAGATTAAATTGAGGCTTGGAACAAAACAGAAATAATGACCAGGTGTGAAACGCAGGATGAGATCATGATGATGTCTTCAACCACATTCTCGCATACAGTCAGATAAATATTCTTTGTGCAGCAGGTGTAAGATTGTGTCAACTGTGTTGTGCAGTCTAGATGACCACAATCTTGACAACAAACAATAGCAGAGAGTCCGTCTCACTTTGCTCCATTTTATGTGTCATGGCTCGACAGTTTCAGTAGCCTAGAGGTGTTAACATCTCAGAGGTGAATTTGGGTCTATTTAAAGGTTTGTTCTAACTCAAACCTCTTCACACCTCTAATGCAGAATGGAAGAATGTCTTCACACCTCCAGCGCTTCAGCTCTGAGAGCATTTAGTTTAAACCCAACAAATATCACACTTCTATTGTTGTGGACAGTTTTTGTGACTGTCAAGTAAAGTTTTGTCTTACACTTCACTAAAACTAATACTTGTTGATACTTGGATGTATCCGGCTTCTCGCCCAAGGACTGCTGGAGAAAAGGCACTGGCCTGCATGGATAAGTGAATTAATACAATAGTTGGATGGATGTTTAGATTAAAGGACTAGTATTTCAATAAAACAACTTTCTTACACAGTTCTTGCACACCAGGTTGGTATTTGTGGGAGATGTAGACGTGATGACGCAGTGACAGTAGCAATGGTGGTTTGAGTTTGTTCTGTAACTGGGGGGAACATCAATTTGATTCCTGCTACGTCCGACTCTGTCGTCGCATCCTCCAGCAGAAGGCCAGGTGGCAGCCTCGCTTCTGTCAGACTGGCCCAGTAGCTTGTCATCATCAACATGCGAATGTGTGCATGAATGGGCACGACTGGTTTCATTGTAAAGCATCTCTGAGAACCAGTTTTTTTAGCTGCTGTGCTTTTGATTTAAGCATAATTTAGATTGGACTCATGACACCTCATAAAATATAAAGAAAGGCAAAACACCACCCTGCTTGTTTTTGCTGGGAATTATATAAATAACATGTTGTTGAAATAGATTGAGGCAACACAACACTAATAATTATGAAGTTAATGCACTCTGTTTAAGTTTTTCGTCAGCTTCATTCAGATCATGCGCGAATTTATGCAAAACGCTCAAGCATGCGGTGGGGGATGAGGGAGGGGGATATGTTTACTATTAATTTTCCAGAATGACTCATAGGGGCTGCAAAATGTGTGAAGCGCTCGGTGATTAAATGAAGTCTGTGGTTCACAGTTTCTTTTTAAGACAAATGAAGTCATCAGAGGCAGCAGAGGCAGATATTGCTGGTGTCATTCTGATATAAAAACTGGCCCTGAGTAGCAGAGTGTTTATTTGTCAGACAGAAACGGGATGGTACAGATTTGGTTATACGCACTGTTCCTAACTTGTGAGTAAAAGATAGTTTTTGTTTTCTTTGTGGATCTTAGTTTTTTTTTTTTTTTTTTTTTTTTTTTTTTTCCCTATTTTTTTTTTTTTTTAAAGGGCTACTTTT